CTAAGCGACTGAGCGACTAAGCGACTAAGCGATTAAGCGACTAAGCGACATGTTAATAATAATACAAGATAATAATAATATTCTAAGATAATTAATAAATAATAAATAATAAATTAATACTAAACTCGTTCTATAACAACACATTAAATTTCTTTAAATTATTAAATTCTACGTTAGGTTGGCCTGTATTTACCAAGAGCTGGGCAAAGGAACATAAGAATTAAAAGTATTACGATCAATAATGGCAAACAAAATGTTCTTATTTTTCCTTTTGACATTGAAGTTTAATGAAATTCAACATGTTTGGTTTTAATTTATATAAGCATAACAATACTTAAAGTTTTCTTTTAACAATATAAAATAAAATCAAAAAAATATAACAATTAAACAAATCGCTAATATAAATTAATGGAAAATCACAAGTAGATCTACCAATCATATGTAGTAACGTCCCGATCAACAATCAGATGTTTATTTATCGTAATTGTTTGTTTTGTTGAGATCAATATCTAACTTTCATTTGTACTGACCACGAAAGCGATTGGGTCGGATAGAACTTAGTAGAAAAAAAAAATCCAAATATATGTATTTTATTTCATTCTAGAATTATTTTTCTTTCGTTGTTTTTTTATCTAATTGTTTTGATTTTAAAATAGAAACAAATATGAAGAAAAAAAATTTCAACTTCTTTGGAACTTTCGATGATGGTACATTTCGGGACTCAGTAAAGAGGATAACCCAAGCATTCCTACCGCGTAAGGTTCCCCATCTGAGGGCAGCGGAGTTTAAACCATGCTAAGGCATGCCGGGTGAATTCCTATGTATGATTAAGAATTACTGTATGGCATATTCTAGCCCCATCAGGTTTGATTGTGGCAGGCGAGTTCCTGTAAGCCATCATTCGATGCGAAATAATCCTGCCTCGGCTGTGGTACGACTTCAAAGTAAACTGGGTTTTTTTATGCATGTTTGTACCCAAGAGATTTCAAATTCGAAATTTGAAGATTATAAAACAAAACGGTCGATTTATTATGAGATTTCTATTAAATGGCCTTAATAAGTAAAATCTCCTTTCGAGTGGGTCCGGCACCCCACGAGATCGATTTTTTCTCAATTTATGGAAACCCGAAAATAATCGGGTACAGAAAAATTGAAATTTTGCAACACAATAAATGAAAGCCTTTTTTGTCACTAAAAAATTTCTCTCGCATAACTTTTTACATTCTTTTACCGCACATATCAAACAAAAAAATCATAATAAAAAAAAATAAGAAAATATTAAAGTTACTTGTTTAATTCTTTTCTTTCAATTCTGTAACTTATTAAAAAATCTACTTCTTGATATCTCAGAAGTAAAATAATAAATTAATTTTATACCGGCAATTTGATTATTAATAAATGATAAAATTAATGCTAACTATTTAAATGCAATATCTGATTTGATCGATAAAATATTCAATTAAAGTAAATAAAAGACAATCTAACAATCTCCACAAAAATTGTTATTTTTTGATATTTTTAGTACATAATTGGCTTTTTTATAAATTAAGAAAATTTAAATCACTAGGAAAAATAAAAGAAGAGTAGTAATTTCTTTTACAACTAATTGTTACAAATAGATCTTTTTTAATATTGAGCTGCTGTCAATAGAAATCAGGCAGATCAAACGAATATCATTTTTAATACACGAAAGTTTAGTAGTAGGGGTGTGCGATATTAAATGATCAACTTCGAAGTAAAATAAGTCATGTTTTAGAAGAATAAAACTCTTTAACTAGCTAATAATAACAATTTACAAGTATATAAACTTATTAGAAAAGTTTTTAATAAGATGAAGTTACATGTTCTTTATTAAGATTTTTAAAACTTTTACTATTAAATCTCCTGAAAAATATACAACTTTTGAAAACAGAAAACAGCGATAGAGTAGATAGTACTTCAACAGTTAACAGAACGACTTTTTCCGACATGTTGCAGTGTGATGCAGCACGATGCAACTTGAGTTTCTTGAAAAGACGTTCTTAACGAAGTTTGATTATACTGTACCCAAAACATCGATCCCAGAAATCGTTTATTATCTAATATGTTTATCAGGGTGCGAATATCGTGCATTTTTTCTATTAAAAGAAAAAAACCTGCTGAAATAAAATCTTTATTCTTCGGATTATCTCGTTGGGAAAATAAAATTCATAAGAAACATGTGATAAAAATTAAATAAGGCAACACTCTCTACTTCATGAGAAACCTGAATTTTTTTGTACACTTCCTACTTTATGAGAAAGTAGTTTTATATATATATTTCGTAAAAAATAAAAGCACTACATTCTTAAAAGTTTTTAAACACAAACGCTTTGTCACTAAAATACGCCTAAATTTCTTTGATAACTTAAATACTTTCCTGACAACTACAGCCAAAACACTTCTTGCTTTCATGGTACGTATACTTTTTCGGACCGTGAGCTTAGCGCCGGTCTTCTGCGCAGGTTGATCTGTTGCTCTTGGCCCTCTTTGCTCTTCAATTTGTTGCGATAAAAGACTATTAGTGATCGAAGAAGAACTCTGACATTTATCTTCGGATAAATGTGAGACCCGGTAGTTATTTTTCTTCAAAATATCGTTATTTAATAAAATTTCTTTTTCCTCTCTTTTAAGTATCATGCATAGAAAACATCTTTTCTAATAGCCTTTTTACACAACTAGATGCCTCATAGCAGACGAAAACACAAGAAGGAATCTGTTTTATATCAGATAGATTATCAAAGCAGAGCTTGATGAAAACCGTAAAAATATATTGGTAGATCTTTACAAAAAAGATTTCAAAATAAAACAAAAATCAAACGACATTTAGATACAATTGATAGATTAAGAATAAGGGCAGAAAATTTACAAATTGAAGTAAATGATTTGGAAATAAAATATGAAAATCTAAAAATTGAAACTGAGTGGTTACGAAGATCAAACAAAATGTTAAAAAGATGTTTATGGGTTATTTTTATTATAGTTTTTGTGTTTTTTGTTAAAATTTATTATTTTGATTTCTTTTACTTTTGTAAATTGTGAGATCATTTGTTATAAGTATGAAAGAGGAATTTTTGATAAAGTCATTAAACTTGAGAAATTGATTTTTTAAATAACTGAGAAGTTTTATTATTCCAAATAATTCTACATTCGACACATTTTGCTATTAATATCAATACACCACAAATATAATAACGACTGAAATATTAAAAATATGCGGCAACTGATAAATGTGATTTAATTAAAAATTTTAATAATGTATACTTATACAAATTACGTTAATGTGCGTAAGTAACAAATTTTCTTTCATTCAAATTATGAAATTAATACAATGCTGTATATATGCTCATTTTGTGAAGAAAATAACTTTAAACCTTTCTTTTTTTTAAAAATGCGCAGGCCATCTGTCGATTAAATCTTTAAGGTGCTTCACGTTGAAGATTTTGTCCTTTTTTTCATAAATTAACAAAAAAAAGAAAATATTAATAAAAATAATTATTGCAAAAAGTGCTTACTATATTCACATTGTCAAATTGAAGCGTTGACCCTTGTTTTTTCATATAATTTAAAACTTCTGTGTATGTGACTTTTCCATCTGCATTTTTAATCTCTTTAAAAATCTTTTGCACTGTTTTTCCAGAATGTGCTGGCTTTAATTTCTCTTATTAGTATAATTTTCTTATCTAAAATCTTCTGCAAAAATGAAATCACTAGACATACCATTTTAGCAAATTCAAATCAACTGATTCGTTTTATTAATAAGATTTATTTATTTGTTTCATTAAAAAAATGACGCGTATAAGTTTTAAAATAACTGTTGGATAAATAAACTTATGTAAATCAGAACTAAATTTCTCCTCCACCAACCTACTTACCGAGTTACAAGATAATTATTGAAGTTATTTTAGAAAAAATCTAATAAAAGTGAAAATGTCAAATGTTCCTGGTTATTTATTGAAAATCTAAAGGCCCACATGAAATTATTGTAATAATTAATTCATAAATTGATTAATTTCGTAAATTGAAAAAAATCGCACAGTTGTATAGTTAAACATTTTTTCAATTAACACATCTTTTTTACCATATCACCAATGCCAAGAGGCATTATTTCGAGACAGAATTTACGGAGTGCACACATTTTTCAAAAAATAAATTCTTCCTATTTTAATTCAATTATTTTTTTAAAAAAAAAATGCATTATAAATTTCTGAAATTCAATTGATCTAATCAATAAGTTACTACAATAAAAATCTTTGAAATTTATTGAAGAAGTAACATTGAAATATTAAACTTAAATTTAATAGTGCCTTCAATATAATTTTGTCATATTGCCAAAAAGTATGTATAATGAAAAAAGAGAAAGCTTCGATTCTATTCGTAATCTTATTATTTGGAATAAAGAAATTTCTAATAATGATCTATATAAAACAACTTCAAAGTTTAGAAAAGATGAATGGCTAATTGTTGGAAATGAAGAGTCTTGATAACAATATGTCATATTCAGGCGAATATAATTCAATACGAAAAAATATTCTTCAAATAATTTAGTCTGTGCCACAACCTAGTTATCTGGGTAAAAACATATTTCTGTAATACCCAAATATTTCTTTTTGACTACTTCTCATAAATATTTAACATTTCAATTGAGACAAAAACAATTTAGGACCGTGAAATTTAATTGTTCCTTTTTGTAGCATTTCCTTTATTAGATTCTTGTCTAATTTGTCGTATTGTACCTGTAGCAAATAGCAAAACTTGCTATTTATTTATATGACTAGAAAACCGATAAGCATATAAAAAAAGCTTAGCGAGCTTGAAATCTTTAATATTTTATCATGCTGAGTAACAAAAAAGACAAGCATTATCTTTTATTTGGAAGAAATTTTCAATCATCACTAAATTAGTTCCTTTTTTATTGTTATTATTTTATGGCTCGTGATTTAGCGGATATGAATTTTAAAAAAATTTAATTCATATCAAAATTGTAAACTAAAATTAGGTACAAGCAATAATATAATTTCAAGCAAAATTAAGATAATTCCGGGCCAAATTAAAAATAATTTAAGTATGATTCCGGCAAAATTAGTATAATAAATTCAGGCAAAAATATATATATATTAGGTGTTTCAAATTCAAAATTCACAGGGTATGATATTTATTTTTAAAAGGTTTGAAAACATTTAACATAAAAATAAAGTATATAAACAAAGGCTGCATTGTGGTCAATTGTACTGGCTCGACGTATAAAACAAACCACCTTTGTATTATTATTGAACAAACAATTAAAATTATTTATTTTTATAATTTTTTTATAAATATAAGGATTCCATCCTGTTAAGGAATGGTGTTGGCACGCAGCGTGTTCTCGTTCAAGTCAGCCCAACGATTTTACTAAGTTAAAGGGAACGCAGTGCGTTCTCGTTCAAGTCAACCCAAAAATTTTACTAAGTTAAAAGGAACTAGATTAAAATATATACACAGTGTAAAGATGTCTGAAAAAAGTTTATCTTATAGTGATATGGCAAAACCTGAGAATCATTTATCTTTTCATACTTATATTGTCTCTCCAGTTCAAGCATTCTTTTATTCTCATGTGGTCCGGCCATCAAAAGAACACCCTTTAATATTTTTTTCCGTCATTTTAATTCTTTTGTCTATTTTACTTCTTCTTATCCTTTTGCTTGGTAGTACTAAAACTATTTATTTGTCAAAATTTACTTTTGGCAAACCGATAAAATTTATTACAAAAAAAAATGATATAACTTTCACTCTATATGGTTATTGTGTAGATAATTTATGCACTACACCTTCACTAGTTAATAATTTTGATAAATGTAAGTTATGTATTAAACTAATTTTGATTGTTTTCTTATATTAGTAAATAATTTTTTAATTGTTAGTGCCCTCTTCTTCAGAAATCACTGGTAAATCCTCAAATTAAAACCGTCTCGATATTCTAATTCCTTCAATCCCAACTCTTTCAATTTCTAATATTCCATCTAGTGTAGAACTAGCTGTTTCAGCCGTTAGTAGTGCTGTTACCGATGCTGCAAATACTGCTTCAAATACTGCCGGGATATTGCTGCAATAGCCCCTGGTTTATTAACTCAGTTATTAAGTGCTTTCGACAATTTTAAACCAAGAAGTCCTACTGCTAACGTTTCGGGGTTTTTCACAATTCCTTATTTAATAGCTTTAATTTTTAATGTAATTTCTTTACCTTTATTATATTTTCATTTTACAATTATTGCTGCTTTACTCATATTAATTTCTTCCTTACTTAATTTCATTGCTTATTTTTTTGATCTCTTACTTTTTGTTTGGGTATTTGATCTTATTTCTATCATTCCTGGTATTGGAAGTCAAAATACTGGTCCTGGAATTTATTTGGCTACTATGAGTGTTTCCTTCTTAACTGTTGCTACTATTTTATTATGTATTGGTTCATGTAGTACTGTCAGGAGCACTAGTAATGAACAATCAATTTTTGATTAAGTTATAAAAAAAATATACATGCTTATAAATCGCTGAATAGTGATTAATTCTTTTATTAAACTTTTTATTAGTTGTGCTGTTACTCTAATTCTGCCAAAAGAAAATACTACTGGATCATTCTTTAGTTTTAATTAGATTACATGTGACTTTCAGATATCTATTGCAACAAAAATTTTAAAGATTTCAAAATAAAAATTTCAAGTTGATAACTAATGATCGGTCATAATTAATAGTTATATATAATAAATATTATTACAATTAAAGTTTTAAACCTTTGTAAAAATATATGTAATAAATTATAAAATTTATTGATAACACTTTTTATATTACAGCCTAAAAAATTACAGTTTTATTTACTTCCCTTCATATTTCTTCACCATGACAGAAGCTTTATTCTTAAGCTTAAAACTTTTGTTTTCACAAATCTGTTTAAAAATATTTAATGCATAGTCGTATTCATTTTTATCGAAAAGTTTTGTTGCAATCCCATAAGTTTTTTCTTCATCTTTTTCTATATGCCATCCATGAAGATAGAATTCAGCAGTGAAATATTCAGCTTTAGATTGGATAGTGTGTTCTTTACAATTAAGTAGTTCTTGGATTAATTTCTACGCTTCTTGATAGTTTCCGTCTCGTCTTAACCTTGAAAATTTTTCAAGTTTAATAGTTTCGTCCAAATATTCATCATTCTTAAATTTTTCTTTTAGAATACTTGTTTGTTTCTTATTATTTTTTTTAGACATAAGTAAAGTTTTTAGGCTTAAACATAAGTAAAAAGATTATTTTGTATTTATATATTTATATCAAAAATGAATAAATGTGGCAATTACAAATAAACCAATTATAGTAAAACAGACTATACTATTATGTAACTGGGCCCATTTCTGCATTAATAGCACACTTTTGTTATCAAGCTTAATTGTTTGAATTGGATTATTTTTAATAAAAATTTTTGCAGTAAACTTCACATCTCTAATCCTAAGAGAATTTAATAATTAAATTTTTAATATTTTCAATTAATGCTACAAAAAAATGACTATATAATTTGTATATAAGTTATATTTATACAAAATTATAATGGCAATTAAATTATAATATACCAGTTAATTCCAGAATTCATAAATAAATTAATTTGAAAGAATGGTCTTAATTTTATTGGATTAAATATAGGATAGGAGTTTCCAGGGACGAAGAATTAACTAAATCACATAATGATAAAAAGTGACGCAGTGACCAATCAGTATTGCGCAATTTAAACCAGATTGGTCACATGAATTTGTTCTGTGCCACGTTTCGCATTTAATTCTCTATCTTTCATTGTTTTTTAAGTTAAAGTATGCTTGGACATTCTTGGACTTGGACGTTGGACGTGCAAAAAAGGCCTTGGACATCAAAAACTGCTTATACGAATGTTTAGTGTGATAATTTTTACTTTCACGCTTAAACCACTAAGTTTTCATGCAATATTTCTGTCTGTATATAACACAGTTATCAGTATTTAAGCTATAATTCTGCTTGCTCTAAAAATATATTTTGTATTTAGTTTTTAAAAAATGATTAAAGTCACGCTTATCTTATGGAGACAATACAAAAAAATATTTTTAGAGTGAGCAGAATTATGCATCGCAGAATTCTAGACACCCTAATTTAAGCGCCACATAAAAACTGAAATCTTCAAAATACTCTAATCTATAGGTTCAAGTATATTCATGTAATTTTAAAATCATGATATTCCTTTTGAAATAGCAAAAATTAATACACATTGTTTATGATAAATTATATTCTGTTTTCAAGATACATGTGTCTAAATTTGGGTAATATAACATAAGTGAAATTGGTCTAATTGTTTAATTACGAGTAGGTTTGATTTAATTAATAACCAGAATTGTTTCGAAAAAAAATTCGTTTAAAAAAATTTAAATTATCTTTAATCTTAATTCACCAATTCATTGTAAATTAAATTAATTTTTTTGCCAAAATTTACATTGATCAACAAAATAAATATAATAGTTGTTTTTGAAGAGAAAATAGTTTGTTCGCACCACTTCTTTTATAATGGCAAAAAAAAAAAGGTATTTACAAAATATTCTGAAGCTAATGTTCATCCTCTTAAAAAATAATGTTAATTTCGTTCTTATCAATTTGTCCATGAACAACAAATAAAGTAACTAATAATAAGGAAGTCAAGTATGTAACTACAAATCTCTGTTTTTATTTTTTTATTTTTTACAATTTATCACCATATCACCAGTCTAATAGTCCTATGTGCAAAGTTTCAAACTTTGTTTATAAATTATGATTTGTAAGAAAGTTTGAAACTCCACATATATGAGCAACATATCGCTACGGCGATAAATATTAAACCCTTTTTTGTTTTTTTTTTATTTTTATTTTATTTTTAGGAAATTAAAAAGATGGTATCTAATTTTTGGTTTACAAAATCTCTCAGTTTTTCCTTTTTTATTTTATTTATTTTTTATTTTTTTATTTTTATTTTTTTGACCATTTTTAGAAAAAGAAAGTCAATTTTACAAGTAGTGTATTAGACCATCCTGTACCTAATTGGGTTCTTAAAAAAGTTTCAAACACATCAGGTAAAGAGTTTACGCATATAAGATATACAGCCATCAAATGCGATCCAGACGAATTTATAAACAAGAAATATTCAATTCGACAAGAAATTAATAAGCGAAATACTGAAATAATGATTGTTATTACAATGTATAATGAAAACGATACTCACTTTATTAAAACAATGTCTTCTGTCATCAAAAATGTGGCCTATATTTGTTCAAAAAAAAAGTCAAAAACATGGGAAATAAGGGTTGGCAAAAAATTGTTGTGTTAATAGTTGCAGATAGTCTTAATAAAATCAATGAACGTGCTCTAAATGTCCTGAGTCTTATGGGTTGTTATCAAGATGGAATTATACAAAAACGTGTCAGGGGTAAACCTGTTACTGCACATCTTTTCGAATATACTACACAATTAATGGTCGATGATGATTTTAAAATCCACTGTAATATCTCACCAGTGCAAGTTATCTTTTGTTTAAAACAAAAAAATGCAAAAAAATTAAATTCTCATTGTTGGTCTTTCAAAGCCTTTGTGGCTCTTTTGAACCCAAAAATTTGTATTTTACTTGATGTGGGCACAAAACCCTCGCAAACCTCAGTTTACCACTTGTAGAAAGGTATGCATATTTAATTTTGTTTGAAGTTGGCTGATGCTGAAAATTGAACTTTAATACTATAAAATTTAGGTTAGATTACTAATAAAAGAGTATAGGCATATACTCTTAATCTTAGCATCAGCTAATTTTAGCATTAAATTGCTTTCGCGTTGATATTTTTATCGATATATATATTTTTTTTTCAGCTTTTGATCGTGATCAACATGTTGGTGGTGCTTGTGGAGAAATTAAAGTAGATCTTGGTTATAAATGTAGAAACCTTCTTAATCCTTTAATCGCATCTCAAAATTTTGAATATAAAATATCTAATATCTTAGACAAGCCATCAGAATCTGTTTTTGGTTATATCTCAGTATTACCAGGCGCTTTCTCCGCATACCGATATAAAGCATTATTGAATGGGCCTTTGGAAAAATACCTTAAAGGTGAGACTATGTATGATGATTCAGGTGCTACTAAGACTGGTATATTCGAAGCAAACATGTACCTGGCAGAAGATTGTATTTTAAGTTTTGAGCTTGTCATTAAGAAACATGAATCATGGAAATTAAAATACATGAAGGTAACAATCTAAAATGCTAGCATTGCATCTCATTACACAAAGGCGTGAACATGTATATATAGCTATTAAAATCCACATATACTCTTTTATTATAAACACTAATCCTAATTTTTAACCTAACTATAAAAAAAGACTACAAAAAAGGCCCTAAAAATTTTTTACCATTTTATAATAAAAATAGGTCAAATTCTTAGAAAACTGTAACAATTATTAGCATCATCTACAAAATAATTACTGAAAAACTATACTATTGTAGGTCGCGATGATGAAATCGGGATGATACAAAAAGATTGAAGTTTATTTTAACATGTAACCTCTTTTTATTAACAAACCAAACCTTAAATCATAATCAACCTTTAAAAAAACGCATCCAAAAAAATAAAATTTCACAAAAAAATAATCACATTTAAAAATCATTCACGTTATATAATAATCAAAATATTACTATGTGATACAGTATATGTGTGTAATTTTTATTTATTAAATTAAAAAAAAAACTAAATATATGCTAGCAAAAATAGCATATTATTATAAGACTCTTATTAAAACGCTCTTATGGTGTTTTACGCCTATCTATAGATTATCTCAAAACTAGCTAGTTAATCAGTGCGAGGTTAAAATGTTCTACACCCTAAAAACCTTTCCAAATTCTAACCCTAACCTAGTGATTGGATGTGCTATTATTACATATAAAATATTAAATGCTTTATACCATGGTAAACCCATACTATATTGCTGTAATGCTGTCATATTGTCATGTCGCCATAGTGTTTACTGGCATTTTATTTAAATTGATTAATTTATTAAACAACTTTAATAAAAACAAGTGCGCTAATCTTTATTATTGCCTAGATGACTTAGAAAATTTTGTTACTTGAGAGATGTTTCATTATAATGATGTCGACTCAAGTTTCATTAGGAACAAGTTGTTATTGAGAACTATTTAGTAGAATCACTATCTCAGCATTATTTGTAAAATCCAATATATTGAGACATTGCATATCTTATAAATTATTATTGGAATGGTTATTGGAATGAGGCCATCCGCTTGAACTTCCCAATGATTATTTCAAAACTATAAGACAGCACTCCAAGAACAATTATCTTGAAGTCACAGATGTGTTTATTCATCTGCTTTTGTAGTTCAAAATCCAAAGTTTATTTTTTGATGAATTAAGATATTCTTCGAATGCTAAATTCTTAGTGTATTAAAAAATTAGTAAATATAAAACCTTATAAAATATATAGTCTTACAAGTTCTCCATAAAGATTTTATCCGGTGGCTTGTTATGATTTGCCTGCAACACTTAAAGTGTAGTGGTGACCGGTTAACAGGTAGTTTTTCTGCCCAGGTAAGATTGTCGATCACTCGAGTGACCCACAGGTCAAACTAGTTACTAACCCTAGTATAAAAAATTTGTGTTAAAAAATTTTATATACAAAACTCAAAAAAAGACATAATATACAAAAACATATAATAAGTGTAAAACACCATAAGTGTATTTTACGTGTACTGTATACGTAATATATAATTGTTATTATAATATTAAACATTTGTTACAGTATTATCTGTTATGGAGTATATATGTCGTGCCTCAGATCAATTCTTGCGTCAGATTAAAACCGGCCTAAGTTAGATTAGGGTTAGGGTAAGAATCTGGGAAGGATTTGGGCTTAATTTAAGTCAATCAATATCGATCAGTTAATGCGGGCCAAAAAGTTGACATCTGACGCAAGCATTAATCTGAGGCACAACATATATATTTATATTTATAGATTTTAAGCGTTATAAAAATAAGTATATATGCATCTATTCATATCGAGAAATTGATTAGCTGGCTGCGCGACAGCCATTTGTGTATTGCACGTGTTGTACAATTTATAATCATTCACCGTAATTTGACGTATAGGTTTCGAGTTATGTACACAGCAACGTGAAATTCATGTGTGGTTTAACAATAATATATAATTCAGCAGACGAAAATTTCCACCAATTAAGTCGTGACTTTAGTCATACTTTCATTTTTGTACAAATTAAAAAAAAAAATTTATATTTTTATAGTCTAATATGGAATACGTAGCATCTAAAAGTAAAGAATTACTAAAATATATATCAATTGGCTAATCACCTAGATCTAAAAAGTATGCTATTCCTGAATTAAGCAATAAATTGCACTATAATCTATAAACTGCAATGTTTAATTAATCTTTCGCTAGAATGAGATAAAGTTCATGGACACATCTCTTGAGTATAGAAAACAACAATTAAACCAAATTTACGTATGAACACTTTTATCGATAAAATAAACATTTCTAAAAGTAGTATTCAAATGTCGGGCCATTCATGTGAATATATATTATAATTGGCGATTTACATTACTGCATTAATGCTCTGATCGAAAATCATACCTAGATTATAAAGGGAGATTGCTTAATTATTACACACAGTATCGGTAGCCTTTAAAGGTTATATGTAATTATATACTTTTTAATATATTACGATATGTGACAATTAATCAACCTCCGGAAAATTCATCACTAGGCCGACTAGGCTAAAATGACAGCTGATAACGATAATTAAATTAATTAACAATAGTATATACTATACTTTTTTAAATTTTATTTTAGACTATTGCACTTTGTGTTTAAACCAGATGAGAATATACGTGCATGCATCTTATATTTAATTACATTGTTCATTCTTAGGCATAGTTTCAATTAGCCCATGCAAAATTAATTAATTGGTTTTCGTAACCCGGCCGGGTCTATTTTTAATGTTATGAAAATCAAGTATGGCCTTATGCCAATCTCATCTTTTTTTTTTTTTAATATTTGTGTATCTACAGTACAGCAGTATTACAGCATAGTACATACATATATATATATATTGTTAATATTAAAGGATTTGTGTAAAAACTATTTTAAGTTCAGAAGTCCGAAAGAACAACACGGATCAGTCCGACAAAGCGGCTATTTTCAGAGCGTAATGATCAAAATTTCGTAATTGCGGACATACAAAAATTCTGCTCTATGTCCTTCGGACAATTATTATTTCAAAGTCAGCCGACAATATTTTTTTCAAAGTTAACAGAGCACAAAGAAAAGCGATTTTTTAACTTATTACAAAATCATAAGGGGATGTCCATAATTTACGTTAAACCAGCATTGTTATAAGGATCTTAAAGATAATACAAAAATAATACTACGTGGAATTATCTTCAAGGTCTCTATTTTTATACAATACTAACGTTGAAGAAACCTAATTATAATTAACGTATAGCTCAGTTCATATATAGAAAACAGTAGCAATATTTAGAACATAACCAGTAATTGTTTCAGGGTGTGATATTCATATTCATATGAGCTGATTATATGAAACGCTTTTTATATTCTAAATTTCTCGCAAATCAATAGTTAAGTCACATGTACAAACCGGTAAAATGCAATATGTAAGAATAACAAATATTTGTGTGTTTCATGCGGAGTTTCAAATAATGAAATGTAATAAACGTAAATATTAGATTAGGATAAATTAAGTCATCAGAACTACGGCCCATTAAAGTACAAGATTGCATATAAGTGTTATACAAAATGAATGAATTTAGAAATTTTGCCATATTGTCCGACAAACATCCAAAATAATTAGATTGCAAAAACAGGCAAGCAGTTCGGTTTAAATTTATAAGATTCTTCAGTTATTGCACTTTTTGTATTATATGATAATAATCAACCCAATTGTCTTATAAAAAAAACAAATCATCGTGCGTTCCCAATAAATCATTCCGGAGTTTACGTATATAATACGGTATTTTACTACCGGTCAATATTTGTCCAATCAGATCTCATCCTAGGATCTTTACTAATTTTAGTAAAGTTGCCAATTTTTATTTTTAAACAAAAATAAAGTCCATTATTATTTTTGGTCCGTTGATATTTTCCATATTCGATAAGCATCAGCATATATAACTAGCCACTTAACTGCCAGAGATGTCCATAAAATGAATGTGTTCCTGAAATTTCTAATATGTCTTTTTGTAAGATCTTGTTTTTTTACACCACCTATTTTGAACTTATTTAGATTCTGGACTTTGGTCGAGATTTAATTAGTTCTGAACTCAAATTCGTTTTGAGATTGGGATCAAATATTGAAAATATACATATTAAGACTTTTCTTTGCGTGATATACTCTCTTCGTACATAATAATGACATTATATTCCGCAATTGTGATCATATTTTTAATAATAAATTTTATAAGCTTAATGTTATTAACTAGTTTAATTGTATTCTTATATAAATCACCTTATTATTTTACTAAAGCTACGTTAATGCAGTTATTAATAGCTACATGGGGGATTAATGTTGGTTCTATTCCTGCAATTTTAATCTATGGAAACGACCTAGAAACACTTGGTTTCAGTTCGCTAATTTGTATCATTCAACAAAAATTTTTCTTCTTCTTCTTCTATCCACTACATCTATTTTATGTAGCATTAATAGTTTGCCTTTATAAAGGTGCCGTTAGTAAATATATTTTTATTGAAAAAGATTGGTTTTGGTATTATTCATGTACTATATGGTGTTTCTCGGCATGTTTAAGCGTTTTTTCTTTTGCTGTGGATATTGAAGAACCGGATTATGGTACAACGGCCTCGCCTCTTGTTTGTAGACCTGTTGAATCTAAATTACATATTTTCACCTACTTGATTGTGTCTGCTCCATTATTATTACTATCTTTTGTGTATACCAGTAAGTGCTCTCTATTTCAAATGATTTTTTATATATGTCTCTAATATTAATAATGTTAACTTACATTATTTAGTTGGTACAATTGGATTGCTTTGGAAACGATGGAAATCTTTTCGCAAGAAAGAGAATAGATTTACTGTAATAGGATTAGGTTATGGAATAAGGCTTTCGCTTTGTGGTGTATGTTTCACCGTGTTTCTCCTTTGCACGTGTGTTCCAAGGCTAATTTCTTATTTTAAACAACAAAACGATCCAAATTTTGACACCACCATTTATTTTATAATCTACGATTATGCTTTTGCTATCATGTAAGTATTATTAAAGTCATTGTGTATATATTTATTCGAATTAATATCTAAATTTTTTTTTTTTTTTATCAATTTGGTAAATTAGTGGAATATTTTTTTTCTTTTTGTTTGGCAGTCAAAAGACTGCAGTAATGTTCTTTAAAAGGTGTTATTACGCACCACCTGAGAACCTAACTTTTAAAACATCCTCATACTTACGTGATGACAGTTTTTCACGTGCAAGGCCACCAACTATAACGAGTATAACAGAACTACCATCTTCAGATTTACCAACTTCGGATTTACCAACTTCAGGTTTACAAGTGCCTCCTAAATTAACATCAATAACTGAAGAAAGTGAAAATGTAGAACCTTTTGAAGAAGAAGAAGAAGAAGAAGAAGGAGGTGCTGGTAGTATTCGTGTTACCGTTGATATCAGAACAGAGGTGTTTGAGGAAGATACTCAACAAAATTATGAAATAGTATAAATGTTAAAATTTAATGACTTTGAACAATTATTATTATTTAAAATATTTTCATAGATTTAAATATTTTACATTAATTATCTAGTATATTATTATATTTAGAAAAAACATGTATTGTATATACTCTCAATCATATTATTGTAGATATAAATTAACACATCAAATAAACTGTTTATCTCTTTAAAGATACATTTTTTACAAAGAAATAAACAGAATGTATGATCACGTATTACGTAACGATCAAACCACTATATGCTTTTTTTTTTCGTTGATCAGTATCTACAGTCTTTTTCCTGGGAAGATATTACTAAGTTTAGAATTAAATAATACGTTTTGACAGCCCGCCAAAATAAAATGTATTAACGATATCAGTTAAAGACATGCACTTAATTGATTGTAAACACGAATCCTATATTAATTTAATTCATACAAATCTCGATTTGATGATTTCTTGCTCATTGTTAGTCATATTTGTCTAGGCAATACAAAGATCGTTAAAACTGTTAATGGTATTAGCAATCAAAATTCTAGCCATATAGGGAATAATGCGATATGCCGCAAGATAATGATTACCATTAACAATAAACAATATTATCAATTAAACATTATAATGTTCGGTGCCATCAACGCCGGTGGAATTATAACGCCCGTTACGAACGTTTTCAAGAGAGACACATTTTTTTAGTATAATTTTTTCTTGTACCCACGATGATATAAAAAATATCTATTGTTGTAGAGTTATATTAAAGAATATTCAAGAATTTATTTAATAACAAATTTTATTGGGCAAAAATTTTGATTTATTAGCCATTTAACGACAAGAACTGAAAAATTATTCATCAAAAATTTTGTTATTATTCGGAAAAGGATTTGTTAGTTGCATTCGGCCGTTATCGCGGCCGAATTCATCTAATAGTTATTGGTCACTTACGCACCTAGTAACGGTATTATCCGGCATCTGCACATAAAACTCTTATATTATTGCCAAGTAACTCTATATTTACAGTATACAGTAAACCGGATTATTCATATCTTTGTTATATACTATCGTAACTTTTCTGCGCCTCATATTTCCCTTATGATCATCATTCTTATTTTAATCCCTGCCTCCTAAACTTACTTTGCCACCCCTGCACCATCACAACTGATCTTCCTCCTTTTGATCCCCATAAAACCGCTCCCCCATGATTATCATTTATCCCTTCCTAATTAATACCCTCTATACATATCTGTTATATCCATCATACTGCGATACGCGTACCCCTGTACCCCTGTACTCCTGTTAACACCAGGCAGTCGATTAATATCAAGATCCTGTTAGTCCGATGGGAGTGTTATTGAAGAAGTGATAGTGGACTGTTTCAGGCAGAAGTCTTAATTTAGACAAAGATGTGAGTGGAAGGGAAGGTCTTGAATAGAATGTGGATGGAAGTTGACCCGATGAATGTATCTGGGGAATTCTAGTTAGCTAACATATATAAAAGACCTCTGTATTCTCCTTACTTGTAACTTCAGGTTCTATCTGAGTGATTCCTCCCTTAAATAAGAAATCTGAATGATTCGTGTCTTTTGAATTCCGTTGCTTGATTTATATTGTATTATTTTGTTGGATTATGTGTATACTTGCTGAGTGCATGTATCTGTTATGATTATTTACCTATTATACAAATACATCTTTGTATTTACTACCCTGCTGTTCTGATGTCATGGTCCTCCTCTCCTAATTTGGTAGTAACACCGGTATTTAAGGCTATCATGAAAAACGAAAAATTTGTAGATGGATTCGGAATCTACTTAAGTGGATTTCGAATCTAGAAACAACTTAAGTCGATTTAGATCTTAAAAAGATCATTTAATAGTCAAATGTTAGTACACAATGACTCTTGGTACGAATTGTTTGGACAATTATCTAAAATCCACTACTGTATATTATGAGTTTATTAGTAAATCCCTTATATCAAGCAGAATTTATTATTGTGTGACCTGAACTTTGATCCATTATATATATGGGCTAATTTCAACTATTTGGCCCTGAATAGAGTCACTAAATTTAGTTTAACCACTTGTCTATTTATTTAAATTTTTTTTTTTTTGATTGGTCTGACGAATTCTTAGGGTGATTGCTTTGATGTAATGAGGGTCTATTCTGTAAGAAAGATTTAATGAATATACATAAACCCCAATTAGATTATCTTAAAACTCATTAGATTATTGGCCTGGGCCTACTAAGACATGTTTTTGACTTTGTTATTGTTATGCGGAAATGATCAAAATAACCTTCCGCTTCAGTCCTTCAGGCAATTGTCAAATAACCTGTCTCACTACGTGTATCAAAAATTTTTGAGGTTCTCTCTTTTGCATTACTATACATATTAGCCTATATGATTAAGATTTTACTTAGTCTCTGTTTACTGTGTAATCATAAATCATACGTATTTAAAACAATTGTAGTGTATTTCGCGAAAGTTTCCAAATTTAAATTTAAACCAAGACAAGCTTTTAATTTAATGAAGTTGCTTGCTAGGCAAATAATTACGATTTTATTATTGTGATCTTACTAATACAAAGTCGGAACTCTAAAAGATAGATAATGGATTTAAAATTCTTTTTAATTACAGGAGTTGAAATGAATCCAAATATTCAATTTATCGTTGCAAAAAATGAAATGAATCAGAATTAATAAGTGCTATATGCTCTTTTAATTATGCAGTCTGTTTCTACTCGAGTCAACTCGTAGCATAAAAAACTTAGTCTTAACTCGAATTAACTCGAGTCAAGACTATGTTTTTTTTAAGCTACGAGCTGATTCGAATCCAATCACTAGTTTCTATTATAACAGGCACAGAAAGTAATTGTAAGGATAAATACAAAAAATAATTCTTGTAAATGTAGACGTTCTAATTTGGTGTTTTGGTGGGTGTCATTCGCATAGTATTAAATGCAAAATAGAGAATATATATAATGATAATACAATGTTTTTAGCTACAAATTACATATTTCTTTATATCTTTAAAATTCTATTCCACTTAAGTTGATTCGGAATCCATTGAATTCCGAATTACCTACAACATATTGATTGTTCTACTTCCATTCTAGCTTATTACAATTTCTTTCATGCTGAAATTTATTAATTACTATGTTTTTTGATAAATTATGTAAACTTAAAACTACTGTATATTATAAATAGTTCTAATGTTTTATTCATCAATCTCTTCGTTCGCTAGTTAGAGAAACTTTTTAATCTATAATAAAAACTCTTGAATTTTTTTTTAAAAAAAAGTTTTACCGTTCTGAATATTATCACATGATATATTTATGATATACTTAACGGATTCAACAACCATTTTATAAAAAAGCCACGTTTCTTCTGATCGCAGGAATTTACATTTGCCACAACCATAGAAAGCCGCATAAATTATGTCCTGGTTAGGGATGTAATCGGCTTGATTAACTTGGATTGGCTCATGAATTTATAACTAAAGCTCAAACCATCGTTTTAGAGCTATAATCTAAGCTATAGTATATCGATATGGTAAATTAAGATATAGTTAAGAAGCCACGGCTAGTTAAGCCGTGTCTTTAGCTAGCTTAAATTATAGCTTAAGTTACAATCCTACTTTAATTTTAATTATATTAACTATTAGAATTACTTGTGTAATATATATCTGGGAAAACGGTATCCGTTGGGTTCCGGAACGCCGCACAATGTTATTGCCGTATGACTAATATCAAATTACAATTTGCCGGTGTGGTTTCTTTTTTACAACTTGGGAAAAGGCGTTATACTAACATATAAAACCATCTGTTTCCAATTGTACCATCGTTGGGTATGATATTGAAGAAACCAATACGTACTACTTTGCTTACAGAAAACGATATGTTAGCATATGAGTGCCGCCAAGGGAAAACCCCTAATCGGGCTTTCAATTATATTTTGTACCGGACAAAATCTATTTAACTTCTTAGAGAATATGTCCGGTACAAAATATAATTGAAAGCCCGATTAGGGGTTTTCCCTTGGCGGCACTCATATGGTATGTGCGAAAAAGTTAAATTTAAACAACGATACGTCATATATTACTATGTGACACGGGTAGAAAATGTTATTGCGTATGTAACGGTAATTATTAATAATACTAATATTCGGCTAGAAATTTTCTTAATGATTGACAGTGAATACTTCCCATTTTATTCTGATAAATTTGTCAATTAACATATGATTAGGTATGATTTCAAGCTTAAAACCATTAATAGTATTGGAATGGGGGTATTATTGTCCCTAATGATTGATTGAACGATATCGGCAATTTGAACTTTTTTATGTCCATCTTATCCTACTCCTGGAACCCACCTTCTTGCCACCTAGACTTATGTTCTTCCGCTCTGCTCCGGAAAATTATAATAAAAATAACAAATGGTAAATTAAAGTCTGAGGTTCATTTTCCCTTGGTAGCATTTATTCTTCATATCTTCTCAGGAATAGGTTATTTTAGTACGTGTGTATATTGTCGTTTGATTATTTTTACTCATAACAATAACAGATAATGTATATATATTATGATCAAAACTAGCCGTGAAAAATGGCTTTGAACTGTAACTTAGCCAATGGCTTCAGAACAATCCTTATTCTGATTTAAGCCGTAATTAAAGTTATGTATATGTTATAGTTCAAGCTGTTAGTTTAGCTTAGCTTTGTTAGGATTAGCCTAAATCTACGGCTAAAGTTGGCTTTTTGTAAAGCTAATAACATCCCTAATGCTGGCCACCGTATAAGCGCAAATAACGCTCGTGGGCGTTATTTTGAAAATCTGGTCCTCCTGTATGTCTCGAATTAGCGCTCATGGGCGTCCCGAATTAACATAATTAATTGTTGCGATAAATGATTACAGTCGACATTCCATATGCGCACTTCACATACACTTTCCCTATAATGATAAGTGCACATAATTTGATCGATCCAATACTATATAATTATTTAATATTATATCCATAAATGAATATTATATAAATGCACTTTTATCCAACAACGTACATTTATGGAAGATTGACCATATTGGATTTAGAAAATCTACTCTTATTTCGAAATAACGCCAGGTCAATTAATTAGCGCGGGGTGGGCGTTATTCCGATAATCGCTAATCCAAAAAATATGTAAACAGATGCATATCATTACATCGTGGAAAGTTCACGATATTTCACAAATTTAATGATTACTAATAACTTTTTTAATTATGACAATATTCGTCTAGCGTAGTACTAATTTTTTTGTAAACTTCATTAATCCTATCTAATGTGGATTATTTTTCGGTTTAGATTGACGGGAAATAAGGATATATATTTAAACAAGTTGTGGATAATTGCGCGAAATACTTCTTAACTAGCAAAAACAAACACAAAAAATGCCTTCTAATAATGGTATCATATTTAAAGCAATTCCCGATGGTTATCCGGTGATAGGTGAACATATTGAACTTGTCACTAGAGAAATTGATATTGAAAATTTTCCACTCGCCGACGGTGATATTCTTGTAAAAAATCAATATTTATCGTTAGACCCATATATGCGTGGCAGGATGAGAAATCCTCAAATAAAATCTTACGTGAAATCATACGAGATTGGTAAAGCTCTAGAAGGACATGGTATTGGCACTATTGTTAAATCTAAAAATAAGAAATATCAAGTCGGAGACTATTATTCTGGATATATTGGTAATATGATTCTATTATTATTATTATTATTATAGTTATTATATTATTTCAATAAAATTAATTATGGAAATTGTTAATTAGGTTGGGAAGAGTATACACATATCCCCGCAAATGCTGTGCTAGAAGTTAAAGGTCTGGAAAAGACTTTTCGAAATCTGAAGTTCCTAAAAGCTATTTTATTGGATTACTTGGTATGCCCGGATTTACTGCTTATATTGGTCTTAATAAAATTGGAAAACCGAAGGAAGGCGAAACTATTTTTATTTCAGTAAGTTCAATTAAAAACTATTAATTTTTTTTATAAAGGTTTAATTGATCTTGGATGTTTAAAAATTGTTTTTTATATTAATAATTGAGGCTGCATCAGGAGCAGTTGGACAGGTAGTAGGACAAATTGCAAAGATTAAAGGATTACGAGTGATTGGTTCTGCTGGTAGTGATTCCAAAATTAAATATCTTGATGAATTAAATTTTGATGGTGCATTTAATTATAAAACCCGTAATATTGACGAGGTAACTATTAATTTGTTAAGAACTTGTTCATAGTGTGTATTTATAGCATTCTTTAATATCAATATATAATTTTATCATTAGGAATTGACAAAGTTATGTCCAAATGGGATTGATATTTATTTTGATAATGTTGGGTAAGTCTATCTTTCCATATTAAATTATCGACAATTTCTGTATCACGTGACAAACATCACGTGAATTTGTCTGGCATCATGAATCTGTAACTAACATTTCTAAAATTAGTGGCGAAACTCTTGATATTGTTCTCAGTCATCTAAACGACAATGCTCGCGTAGTAGCATGCGGAATGATCTCTCGATATAATGACAATAATCCTCATGTATTTAAAAACTTAATGTATATTGTTACAAAACGCATTTTAATTCAAGGTTTTATCGTACTTGATCATTATCAAGAAGTGGATTCTTTTCAAAAAGAAATGCGTGAATGGTTAAAACAAGATAAAATAAAGTATAAAGAAGATATAGTTGAAGGAATTCAAAATGCTCCTGAGGCATTTTTAAATTTATTAACCGGTAAAAATTTTGGAAAGGTTATTGTTAAGATTTGTTAAAATGTATAGATGCATTATTGTTATTTGTTTATTATTATTTTTATTTCTATATTTTTTGTAAAAAAAAAAAACCTCTTATAATATGTTAAAATTTATATTATTAAACATTGAAATGAAAAGATTTAAACTCATTTTGAGTCAATTGTTAAATGTTAGTTGAAGTAAAATAAAAATCTCAAAAGTAACTAATTATATAAAGAATTATTAATAAGATTTTTATATATCTGTAATATAAGTTTAAGCCTATTAAAAGATTAAATATTCTGCTTATAGAATACTTTATTTTTAATTCTGATTTTGGCTATACTTATAGTAAAAATAACAATTTTTTGTTTTTTAATATTAAAAATAAGAACTTGCTTTTTATCCTTATTAAATTTAATAAAACTTTTTATATAGTTAAAAAAAAAACTTGTTTTTTAAATTTAAAACCAATAACAAGAACTTAAACATATATTTAAATAAATCTAAATATATTGTTATATTAGTATATATATGTTGTGTCTTAGGTCACTACACACATCAGGTAACAGCTGACATATCTCAGATTCTGATCATTAAGTAACATGCCTCAGATGTTGAATTGATAACTAACAGTCATCTAACTAAATTTTTTTTTAAATTTCGATTTGTATTAAGAATTATTATTGTATCTTATTATTTTACAATAGATTATAACTCAAACAGAAATGATGATTTTCTGTGATAATTAATTACTACAATAATTTGCAATAATAAATATTTTATATTTATACAAAATTATCACAGAAATTAATCACTGCAGAAAATTATTGCCCAAGTAATTGAAATTATCAAATAAAACATATCATTTATAATACAAAACAGTTATGATTTAAAATATTGTTATTAAGATTTATCTTTGTAATATTGGAAATAAATAACTATAAAGATAGTTACTAAAATATTAAAATAAATTCTGTCTTTATAGACTTTAGAATACCAACTGTTAGAATCTTAATTTGTAATTATTTTGCTTTTATAGTTGGCAGAAAAAATTCAAAGCATTCACCAAATAAAGTTATTACATGGAATAATTTGAGAAGTAAGAAAAAAAAAGAGCCAGAATTTCAAAGTAAATATGTAAAATTGAGAGATTAGTAAAAAAATCAAAATTACACTGTTTAATTCACAATTAACTGATAACTTTCTTTATTTTTTTTAAGATTGTTATTGTTTTTTTAATAAAGTATTTGTTTATATATTTAGTATACAGTAAATTATAAAAGCTCTGCATGTTTAAAATATATATATATATATTTAATATTTAAGATGGGACCTTGCTCTTATCTTTATTAAACTTAATGAAAACTTTTTACATAATTGAAAAAGGTTTTAAATTTTAAGCCTAGTGCTAAAAATAAGAACTCAAACATCTAGAGAACCTAATAGGGTAACCTAAATATTTATCTGCGGCCTAAATCTATTAGAGTAGCCAAAGCTTACCTAGAGTTGGAATAAATTAAAAATATATAAAAGGTGTATATGGTATTTAATCTAGTTAGTGTACCAAGATGATATTTTTAATGAAGATGTTTGAAGAGTAATATTAGATGTGTCAGAAGTAGAAAGTGTAGTGCCAGTGTAGAAGATAACTGAGGTTGTATTGGCTGGGATTGGGGTCTTGAACTACAATAAGGAATTCAGATATTTGAATACAATTGTTTGTTGACATGAAAAAGAAATTGTATAGAGATTGAGTTGGCTGCTTGGCTAAATATAGTGAATTCATGTATTGTATATATAATATCAAGTAGAATAAAACCAGAAAGTGTAGATAAAATAGAAGGTTTGTCAGGAAGATTGTATATTAAAAGACTATCAAGATTAATAATTCAGTTGTGTAACAAGTTAATTTGTGATAAGGATATTTGAAGTTTGTTAGCAGTTATAGTTTGTTATAAAGAATTTTTAATGAGTGTGTGAAAAGTATTAGGTAAGAGGCATATAGCCTAGTGTAATGTAATGCTAGTTTGATGATAGATATAACAAGTATTAGAGTAAAGTGAGTTTCTTTTATGCAATATATAAGATGTAGAGAGTTCGTCAGTAAGAAGTTTAACTCTAAATATTTTAAGAGTAGAGAACTGAAAACTATAAGCAAAGTTAGAAACTTTTTGGGTATTATTAAGATAAAGCCAAGTTGCATCTTAGTTTATATGTGGGAAATTTGTATTTATAGTTGAAAATGATTTTGAAATAACCAGAGAGCAAAGATATTTGTATAGTATATAGTTCGAATACTGCAACAGATAGGGAGTTCAAGAGGGTAGTCTTCTAGATATGGGGTATACAAAGGATTATAAATATTATAGGAGTTGAATATAAAAAATATTATGTTAAGATAATTGTAAGCTAATTCATCAGCTTTGTTATTAAATATATTATTCTGATATGCTTTAACTTTATGAAAAGTGATTTTTTAGTTGTAAAATTTAGTAAAATTGAGGAGTGTATTTCATATAGACCAATAAGGTGTATTAGAGAAGCTAGAGCTAGTTGGTTGTTGGATTAAGTTTTTATATTTAGATATAACAAATTGTAAATCTGTAAAGATTTAGATATTGCAGTTTCCGGGAGCAGTGCATATAGCAGACAAGATTGCAAGCAGTTTAGCTTTAAAAGAGTATAGCTATAGTAAGATTTGTACATAGAATATGTGAAGAATATTGTCATTATCAACCTGTAGCCAACTGATCATCATAGAGTATTGAAGGTTTCCAAAGTTAATAATGGATCTATCAGTATAAAATATAAGATCAGTAGAGTAGTAATTGTAATTAGCAAGCTATTGAAGAGTATTAGAAGCAAGATTACAGTAGTTAAAAATATAGAAGAGATTTGTGAGGCTTGTAGAATAAGGTTTGGAGGTTCAGAAACTGAAATAATATTTTGAGTTTAATTGAGTGTATTAAATCAAGAGAGTTTGTATTGAAATTAATTGATTTGTTTAGAATAAAATCTGCCAAGAAATTTAACTGCATGGCTAGTAGAAATAAGAATAGTACATTTATTATTAATAATATTAGAGTTGAGGGGGTAGTTAAGACATGGTTTTGAAGTTATATTGGAAGTAGGATATAATAGTGAAGAAGTAGTTATAAGATTGCATTGCCAGTGAGTAACTAGTATGTGTCCAGAATTTGTAGATTGGTAATGGGCTTTGTCAACAACAATTTGATCATTGAGTATTGTTATAAGCCAAGATTTAGAATATTTTAGAAAGTGACTAGTATTATAGCTATAATAATTTGTAGCAAATAATTGTAATTGAGAGAAAATAGAACAGTTGTAAGAGAAGTTTATAATAGAATTTTCAAGAAATTTGAACCATTGTAGAGTTTTCCCTTTAGGAATTTTGTTAAACCTTGGGGAAATATATTTCTAATCAAGAAGACAAGAATTATCAGAAGTAGTAAGTTGGTCAAGAAAGAGTATGTGATAGTGACAAAGTTGTTTTTTGAAAATAGCATAATTAAAATAGGATAACAAAATAGATTCAAGAGTAACTGATCTCTCTTGAATTGTAGAAGGCATGGTTGTGCTTGGATTGAGATTAACTGTTCAATTTAGATTTTGAAAAGTTGTATTATTTTAAAATTAGTGGTAAGCCTATTGGGGCTATCAATAAGAGAGTTGGGATGAAATAGAAAACCAAAGATTATATTAAAGTTGTTGAACTTGAATTTAAGTAGTTGTACCAAAAAGAGATTTATTGTTGAGATGTTTAATAAAATTTGGAATGTGGTGTTGCAGTTGAATATTCCAGATATTTTTAATATTATATATATATGAATAAAGTAAGACACTAGTAGGAATAGTAAAACAGAGTTTAACTTTGTGTTTGACAAGGTTAATATGTTGTCTGAAAATTTTGTTACAAATAGATTGGCTAAGTGTAGTATTATAAATTCTATATTCTAAGGTAGAAATAATAACAGTATTAATAATATATCTAGCTTGAGTATTTGTTATTTGTTTGGTGCTAGCAATTTTAATAAGTTGAGAAGATTCTAAGAAGATGAGTTGGATTTGTTTGATATGTTTATTGTTCAAGATAAACCAACAACCAAGAAATTTGAAAGGTTAATTAGCTGGCCAGAAAGGAAGTGTTTCGTTATTAAAAGAGATTGGGTAATAGGTGTTGAGCTTAGCATTAGATAATAGTATAGATTTAGTTAGGTTAACTTTAATATTAGTTATATTATAAAAAGATTTAGCAGCTGAGAGAATGTTACAAAGTGTCATCTATATAAGCTAGCACAAAACTATTAGCTTCAAGTTTGTTAGTAGAGAAATTTTTTAGATTAATGGACCATGAGATAGAGATTGAATAGCCAAAAAATATTAAATATATATAGGTAATAAGGGAGTTATAGTAAATTCACCAGAGCAAGGGTGTAATAGTCTCTTCTTGGTCAATACCATTTTGAACTTGGTAGGGGGATGTTAAACCAAAATTAGTTATAATCTCATTTTGGTGGTTGGTGAGTAGGTTAGATAGGATATTAATAATAGGTTGAGGAAGAGAGAGATGGTGAAAAGCATGTTTAAGTAGATCAAGATTAACAAAGTCATAAACTTTGCTCATATTTTGAGATAAAAGCCAGTTCTCTTTGTAATGTTTTTGTATAAAAGGGGTTTGATTACTAAGAGATACTTTTCTCTTTTTACTTTTATGAAGCAAGGATACTGAAGTTTATGAATATTATGGGGACAAGAAAATGCGAAAAGACAGTTTTTAGTACAAACAATTTTATGTTCAAAGAGAAGTATTTTTTTTAAAGAACAACTTCTACCAATATCCTTTCAAAGTTAAAAACTCATCTCTCTTTGGTTTATTAAGCCAAAAAGATAAATCTTAAATACTTTTTGACCTTTACTGCATACATGAATGTTGTGTTTTACTAATTTATATATAGTACAAATTCGAACCTGGCTTGGTTGGTACAAATTTGAACCAAGGTATGAATTTCTATTTT